TATGTGCTGCCTTTTCGAAGTATTGAAGCAAGAAAAATCAATCTACACGATTAATGTGGTTAAGGTTAATATCTTTAAAAAGTAGTTTGACTTTATTTAAATCTCCATTACGACAAGCAAAATAAAACTCTAGTTTTATTCTAGTTTAAAAGAATAAAACAAAATTCTTTCTCATCTGTTGATCGTTATTTTTTGCCTTTTACCTTTCGATTCTTGATCGAATTTAAAAAATGTTTCACTGCTTTAAATTTGTCTCTTGCGCCACCCCATACTCCGTTGAATTTTTCATTCCAAAAATCTTGGTTTTCCAAGACTAGCATACACCAGTTTAACGTGTGCTCATCGATCAGTGATTCCATTATACCATAAATCTACTCACTAGTATCAGACGCTGGCAATGTGCGATCATCAGCTTCAAAGGGCTGACTGTTCACTGAGGTACACAATCCAACATTGCCGTAAAAAACGATATCGTTTTCTTCCCTTGGTGGATCATTAACATATTTTGACAACAGGCCTTTATCGTTCAACACAGCACGACGACTCTTTGCTTGGCCAGCATATTTGTTTGTACACACTAGAGCACAGAATATGTGCTTTTGACTGATGCACAAATTCAAAAGCCATTCCAGTTGTGCAAGATCGACAAATGTGCCGGGCGATGCACAAAATATCATACAGAGAGGCTTTGATTCCGGTGTCTTAACAATCTTTTTTACTTCCGACCGAATATCGTCCTTGTCACACGATTCAAATCCGGGTGTATCCCAAAAGTTATATTTATAGTGAGTGATGTTTGCATCAATTTCACACTGGCCTTCAATTGTGTAACATCTCATAGTTTTCGTACATGAAGCAAGACCATCTTTAGTTTCAGCTACTTTTCGTCCACATATGGCGTTAATCAATGTGCTTTTACCGACACGAGGTGAACCACAGACAAGGATATGGAATTCTTTAGCTAAAGTACGAAATATTTGACCGACCATTTGACCACTGGCTTCCTGAAGTGTTGATTGCATCTCTTGAAGGATAGGATCATCATTCGCATTCCGTCTATCAGAGGAGCACGGGGAGGTTGTGACGGCGGATCGCGTTGGGAATCAATATCAGCTAACTGGCTCTCGGTATCCGATGACCTCTGTTCAACTAATTCATGAGACAGGAGTTGTGCGGCATTCGTATTACTGTTACCAGTGGGACTTGGCTCAGGAGGCAATGCCTAAAATGGAAAACCTTAAAAAAACAGCTACAGTCCGTCAGAACTATTATTATTCTCTTGCCCATAGCCAGGCCACACTACGACGATTATATTCTAGTATTCTCCTCTGTGAGCGGTAAAGAGTTAACGTTACCGAGTTTAAGGGAAAAGTCATCCGAAAAATATACGATGCTTAGATACCACACCCAACTACTTTATAAAGTTCTATGTGAAGCACTGATGAAATCCGGTATTCCAAAATCTTGGATTTTTGGATCTTGGAATCCGGAGATACAGGGATGATCTTATGACTCCTTTTGCACTCTCCAGGGCAGGGTCGAGAATCTTACTCAGGGTAACCTTAAAGCTACTTCAAATACCCTTTAAACTAGGTACTGTTATTTTTGTATCTCTGACCCTGTTTCCACTATCTGCACACAAAAGTTACTCAAATCTGGACAACGTACCGGAGCCACACTTGTTTCGTTAGTATAATGCCTACACGGTGAAAAAATAACCGTCAAAAAAACCGTAAAAACCATAACCATCGAAAGAAAACCGTATAGAAGAACCATGAAGTAAAAAACTACAGTATGAAAACCGTAAAATGCAAAAGTATAAAACAAAA